ATGAATTTCTGAAACCGAATAATCAAACATACTAGTGAAAGTTACTTGTTTTCAATGTATACACTTTGCCTCGTAAGTTTCTATGTGTTATTGTTCTTAACTTTACTAATGTAGGTCTAAGCTATTGGTTAGGAGGTAGAGATGATGTTGTAGAAGGAAGGTGGATGTTGGCTCAAACAGACCAGCTGTTCAATTTTACTGACTGGTATCATAATATACCAGATAACATCGGCAGAAACGAGTCTTACATATGTATGCCCCTTTTAAACTGAAATGGAACGACGTTATATGTACCGGTCTATACAGATTCATCTGTGAAAAAGAGTCAGTATATATTTTTCTCATCTTATTGTGTCTAATGCAAGGCCTTGTTTTTATTATATAAAAAAATAATTTTCACATCTGCAGATATATATATTCATAAAATATATAGTAAACAAATGTCTATGTTTTATTTTTGTTTAGTACGCTTGTTGCTTGTTTACTTATTTTACTATTTATCTTATGAATATATATATATATATTTGGGCTTGTATTATATTTGACTTCGGGTTTATGTGATCCGTTCATCCTATTTTGACTCCTCAAAATTCAAGAGTCTATCCTAAATTGAGGTAAATTGTATGGCTTTCCAAAGACCGTTTCGATTCCTAACATCACTGAAGAGACATTAATTGTCGAAATCCGGATATGGTGTACAAAAACCTTTGCACCTTTTGTTTGCGGTATACCATCTTTTTCGCAAGTTTATTGTTTTCTGTTTAGTATTAAATTTATAATTAAGATCCATTTATTACATCGGTGATCCGTTTATTTGGCAATCGCCAATGGCAGTCAGCAGGGTTTAAGAACATTTGTTGTTCGACCTGTTAGTCAAATGCGTTTTGTTAAAATATACTTTTTCACTTTTTTGGTCTTTTGGAAAATGTTGTTTGTGCTGTATTTAGACCACTCTAACAAGAAATGTTTTTTGCATGCACACGTATAAAAATTGCGGTTTTTATCCAACGCAATCATAGGTTTGAACGTTGTTTTCAATTTAGACTTGTTTATATTTTTTCGTTTGGGCTTGTATTATATTTGCCTTCGGGTTTATGTGATCCGTTCATCCTATTTTGACTCCTCAAAATTCAAGAGTCTATCCTAAATTGAGGTAAATTGTATGGCTTTCCAAATACCGTTTCGATTAGTAACATCACTGAAGAGACATTAATTGTCGAAATCCGGATATGGTGTACAAAAACCTTTGCACCTTTTGTTTGCGGTATACCATCTTTTCAGCAAGTTTATTGTTTTCTGTTTAGTATTAAATTTATAATTAAGATCCATTTATTACATCGGTGATCCGTTTATTTGGCAATCGCCAATGGCAGTCAGCAGGGTTTAAGAACATTTGTTGTTCGACCTGTTAGTCAAATGCGTTTTGTTAAAATATACTTTTTCACTTTTTTGGTCTTTTGGAAAATGTTGTTTGTGCTGTATTTAGACCACTCTAACAAGAAATTTTTTTTGCATGCACACGTATAAAAATTGCGGTTTTTATCCAACGCAATCATAGGTTTGAACGTTGTTTTCAATTTAGACTTGTTTATATTTTTTCGTTTGGGCTTGTATTATATTTGCCTTCGGGTTTATGTGATCCGTTCATCCTATTTTGACTCCTCAAAATTCAAGAGTCTATCCTAAATTGAGGTAAATTGTATGGCTTTCCAAATACCGTTTCGATTCCTAACATCACTGAAGAGACATTAATTGTCGAAATCCGGATATGGTGTACAAAAATCTTTGCACCTTTTGTTTGCGGTATACCATCTTTTCCGCAAGTTTATTGTTTTCTGTTTAGTATTAAATTTATAATTAAGATCCATTTATTACATCGGTGATCCGTTTATTTGGCAATCGCAAATGGCAGTCAGCAGGGTTTAAGAACATTTGTTGTTCGACCTGTTAGTCAAATGCGTTTTGTTAAAATATACTTTTTCACTTTTTTGGTCTCTTGGAAAATGTTGTTTGTGCTGTATTTAGACCACTCTAACAAGAAATTTTTTTTTGCATGCACACGTATAAAATTTGCGGTTTTTATCCAACGCAATCATAGGTTTGAACGTTGTTTTCAATTTAGACTTGTATATATATATATATTCATTAAATTAGGCCGTTAGTTTTGTTGCGTTTTGTTAAAATATACTTTTTCACTTTTTTGGTCTTTTGGAAAATGTTGTTTGTGCTGTATTTATACCCCTCTAACAAGAAATTTGTTTTGCATGCACACGTATAAAAATTGCGGTTTTTATCCAACGCAATCATAGGTTTGAACGTTGTTTTTAATTTAGACTTTTTTAGATTTTTTCGTTTGGGCGTGTATTATATTTGCCTTCGGGTTTATATGATCTGTTCATCCTATTTTGACTCCTCAAAATTCAAGAGTCTATCCTTAATTGAGGTAAAGTGTATAGCTTTCCAAATACCGTTTCGATTCCTAACATCACTGAAGAGACATTAATAGTCGAAATCCGGATATGGTGTACAAAAACCTTTGCACCTTTTGTTTGCGGTATACCATCTTTTCCGCAAGATTATTGTTCTCTGTTTAATACTAAATTTATAATTAAGATCCATTTATTACATCGGTGATCATTTTATTTGGCAACAACATTTAATTGTGAATAAGATTCAGTACACAGTTCACTAATAGCTATGTTTTATTCTTGTTTAGTACGCTTGTTGCTTCATTTTTCCTATATTTTTATAAACTATGATTAAATAATTCGACCTCGTCACGATTTGAGTTCTTGTAAGTTGGAAATGTTCAAAAGTTAAAAATGATGCGCACGTGTTTTAGATTTTAAGAAGTCTGTAAATAAATTGATTGATCAGCTAGATCAGGTATCGTTGTTCAGTTGTATAACATAGGTTCAATCAAGGATATATTATGTAATTCTGCTCATGTTGTCTTTGATTGCCTTAAGAAATGTAAGACATAATGTAAATATGTAATATGTAATATGTCTGAGTTTTCTACTTATGTTATTGGCTGTGAAACTTACATCATAGACTGACAAACCTGAGCTTATATGCAATATGGCAAGTACAAAAAAAATATAACTGATCTTTAAAAAGATAGAACAGGTAAAAACACGGCTTTGAATTTACTTTAAATTTATATCTTTATTTCATATATTTTGGTGAAATATTGAACTTTTCTTTTGTAGGTATTCTGGAGATGGTTCTGAAATAATAGGATAAGCAAATATCAATGTGCAAACAAGTCGTTTTGCTATTAGATTTTATTGGACCAATAGTTAAACAAACTTGTATTCTAAATCCGAAGACATGCTGCATATATCTCGGCCATCGAGGGGCGATCTGCATAAAATTCACAATTTTCTTCTATTCTGTTTTTAAAATAAATTTAATGTTCGAGTCAGTGCATTTGATATTTAGGTGTGTTTTATTTTCCATTAAATCTTATTGGAAAACTATGTTATCAAACCTTTTTTTTTCTTTATCATGTATACGATTTACGTCATAAATTCTGATATCTTTGAATAAGATGTGTTAATTTTGTTTTGATTGAATGGTACGAAAAGTTTTAAGATGATGGGTCTGTGTCTCACAAAAGACACTGATCTGTGACAGAGAGGTGAAAGATACAAGAGGGACATTCAAATTCATAAGTTGACAACGCCATGGGTTAAAAAAGAAAAAGACCAACAGAAAACAGACAAACAATAGTTCACAAAAAAACTACATAAAAAACCAAAGATTGAGCAACACGAACCCATCCAAAAACTTAGGGTGATCTCAGGTGCTCCGGAAGGGCAAGCAGATCCCGCTCCAAATGTGGCACCCATCGTGCTTTTAATATTTCAAATACGTTCTATACCCTCTGGTGAAAATAATGTATGCATAGCTGTCGACGCAAGCGGTCTTTGGTGGTTTGAAGTTCTTGAGATTCCATCAGGTTTTAAACTTTTTTAATTGGTTTGTATACTGTAAACCAACTTATTTTCGCGGATACTTTATTTCGCGTTTAGTCGTTTCTATTCAACTTCGCGGCCATGTTCTAATTTCATTGATGTATTAATTTTTAATATAAGAAAATATCGAAGTTTAACATATTTGCGACGATCTATATTCGCGTTATTTTTCTTCTCGCGAAATTCGTGAAAATAAATTACTCGCGAAAATTAGTTGGTTAACAGTATTTAAAATGGATTCACAAGTTTGGAACATAGGTAAGCTATACTGTTGCCTCTTTTAAATCGTGAAGTATGACAACAATTTTTATAATTATTTTTTGTTTTCCATCCCTTAGTAAAATATTTCACCGGATCCACAAATAATAATTACTTATTCTTTTGCCTTAATTTAGTTTTATTGTAAATATGCATTGTCTTCTAGGCTTTAACTGTTCACTAATGACCCGTATTGTTGTGTATAATCGAAAAAAAATGATACTATGGGTCAAGTTTGCAAATGTGAGAGTTTGGTTCAATTTTCAAATTTCTGAATTATATCCTAAGTAGATAAACCATGCAGGCCGTTGATTTCCTCTTTTGAATTGTATCTGTATCGGTAAGGCTAATTTTTTAAGGCCATAGGGTAACGTGCAGTTGTTAAAATCATCGTCCTCTTATTTCTGTTAGATAAATGTTCCATTGGTAATCATACCAATCAAATATCTTCTTATTTCCATAAAGTTGGAACAGATTGACTAGTTGTCACGAAATTCGTTTTTGACCATTAGTCTCTCCTTCCTGATAAGCAAAAATAACAATTTTCCCTAAAAGTACGGCACAATCTACATGGTGTTAACATTGTGAAATTTTCTTAATTCTAAGATTTTTGTTTGGGGAGATTATCACGTACACTACAAACAAACGTCCATGCGAACGTACGTACTACGACCAGGAACACAATATTATACACCGCTTAGCACGGGGAAAGCAATGTTGATCATTGGACATTTTGAAGATTTGCGATTTTTATTTGAGAAATTCCGCGATTAAATCACTGTTATAAAATAGTGCCATATTCAAATGTGTGTATACAAGCATTTAAATATGACACTAGTTCATGCACTGGATGTTCAGGCTATCGTTTACTGGTTGACCAAATGGTCAATACCAGTTAAAGATTAAAATTTTGATAAGGCGTTTGAATTACTTTGAAATCAACGGTAGTACAGATAAGAATTTATGATATTATGGGAACCACGTTTCTAAACTCGTTTTCAATATTGAATCTACTGCTTTTGCTGACTTTTCCTGGTATGTATGTTCATAATATTAATGTATTGTTTATAATTCTTTTTTTTTAATTCGATTAATCTTTCTGTCTTTCTCTCTATAAATATAACCCTTTGGTGTGAGAATGGTGGTAAAACTACTGAGTCTGATACAAATCTGAAATCTAAGATGGATGTTTTTTTTTAACAAAGTTTAAAATCACAAAATATAGACCGTATGACCAATTCATGTAATATATATCTTTCAAAATTATTGAATATGAATATAGATATCTGCAACTAAGGAGAAGATACATAGGGTGTAATAAAAAAAGTTAAAGAAACTGTACTGAAAACTGCTAAAGATTAGTCAATGCGAACTCCATTTAAAACATGGTGAAGGGAAGGGGGCTGTAGGTGTCTTGAAAATTGCAATTCAGGGGATGAAACTTGAAACAGTTTAATGTTAGACAATAGTTGAGAACTACCAATGCAATTTGGGAAAAAGGTGAGAAATACCTTAACTTTTTGGTATATAATTGTCGTTTATCAATGATTGCTTTGTATAGCGAAAGTTGGAAAAATAAGAGAAAGATTTGGTGAGGGAATGAAAATGAAAAATAAATGTTCAAAGCCATACAACTCAATCTTAAAGTATATATCTATAAACAAATAAAGATCAGGAACCAATAAATATACGTTTTAGTTTGATTTTATAACACAAGTAGACAAATATGATCAGACACAAGTTTAAACAACCTATGAAGTTTTTTACTTAATCTTTTATATTCAACAAATAAACAAATTAAATGGAGAATTCGCAATTGTGTAGGTATATCTTTAGATATAAATACATGTAGTAACAAACAAAATCAAATGCGTAATTCAAGGACAAGCTTAATTCTTAAAACCTAAGATTTATTTTTTTTTACATTTATTTAAATTATAATGTCTAAACTAATCCACATAACTGGTTATTTATTACCAACCATTCCTTATATTTTTTTGTATTTATGTTTACCGTAGAGTTATCAGATATTGATTTGACATATACTTTCAGATAAAGGAAGCACTGAATGCCCAATAGGATGGCATCACTTTGGTTCATCTTGCTATTTTTTCAGCCATGAACTTTTTAATTGGTTGAATGCTGAGGTATTTTAAAATAATTTATAAAATACTTGTCCATATCCAAAAATTGATCAAGTATATCTTACAGGTGACATATATTACTAATTTGAATAAACTGTTGACACAGAGATATGTCTCGCCTTTGTGTAATTTGAAAGTATAATGAAAATGTTAAAATTAAAATGGAAATAATATGTAAACATGCAAAACATTCAAAATCAATGAACCATGACTGAATGTTCAGCGCCTAATGACCTCCACGGAAATGAGAAATGCAATGCTTATTCAACTGTTATTAAGTGGTTAAACTTTACCTTTAAACTGACATAAACACAAACTTTAAAATGTAAACTACGTAAAAGTTCCAAAGTCAATGAACCATGATGAAATGGCGGGGCTATATAATCTATATAATACAAATTTCAATGAAACGTGCAAATGCTTATTAAACTGGAGACAAAACATCAATGACTTACAGTGGTTCAGCTTACACTGACCTAATCACACATGTTAACATGTATACTATGCAAACATCTCAAAATTCAATAGACTATGACTGAGGGGGCGGGGCAAAATGAAATAATCCTTATTGAATTGAGACGTGCCCGTTCGTGTACAACTGAATACCAACTATCAGAAACCTTTCAGTATTGGTTTCCTTAAACTGACTTGATCACAAACTTTAACATGTAAACTAAACAATATACAATCGGGGACTAGAATTCCACTAGCAGTGGTATTGAAAGAAGTTTAGTATCATATGCAAAAAGGTATACGTCAGAGTCGAAAAGCTCTGGTAAGTCGTCTAAAAATATTACAAAAAGTAAGGGCCCAACTTAGATCCTTGATTTTTAACTAATGTAACTAGATTTTCAATTTTCAAGGGGTTCTAACCATTAGTCTAGGACATTTAACAATTGAAGGGACGTTTATCTAACTGATATAAATCCATAATAGCGATCAGTAAAGAACTTGTTAATTTTCCTATGTTTGACAATGCGCTCAAGATCTAATGTTTCTATAACTTTGCACACAACTGACGCACGGCTCACAAGCTTATATTTACAATGTACTAGGAATACATTGTTTGCCCTTCTAAAAACAAAATAGCGCTATTGTGTGCAACTACTTGGATCAATACTGGTTCTTTTTGTGGGAGAAGACTTTATAAGTTTGATTAACTTGTGTCTCATCCTTTTTGCATATTTAAGCAAATAAAATGTGTTTAAACAAATAAACTGGTTCTTAATGATTTATTGCTCTTTTCTACATTCTGGCCATGGAGAGTTATGAAATTTCACACCACTCAGTATCTTAAATACTTCTTGATTCTTTATATTCATTTGTGGCATTTAACTCTTAGTATCTTTTATCCGTAAAGTAGAAACCTTACCTTCGGGTTTCTTTGTAAATACAATGTTAAAAAATATTGATAAAATGTTAACCTTTTCTTTGTCATCATCAGCCTTCTTAGATGTTTCATCACTTTATTCGGTTAGCAGTTCTCCAATTTCTGTTCTTGTTTTAGACATAAGAATTAATGTATTTCCAGATCTCCTTGTGATTTTTCCTCTTTGTAGCATTTGTTGAAAGATTTGTTGTCAAGTTCCCTTTTCAGTTTATAATCTTTACGTGATTCAGTGCCGTTTTTTGTGGGATTCGTGTTGCTCAGTCATTAGTTGTCTATGTTTTGTTATGTGTACTGTTGTTTGTCTTTGGTCGGTTTTTGTTTTTTGCCGTTTTTGAAACCAAAAAAGTATTATTTATTTCATAACTAGCACTCAAAAATGAAATTAATGTTATCTCTTTGGTCGAATATTTATTGCTTTGAACGTTTCGTACAATTCCAAATATGGTAACGTAAGTTTCTGAAAAAAATACCCATACTGTATTATATTCTAGATCTGAAACGGCAAATTGCTGGCGGCTATACAGTGACTTGTAGATTTCGAGATATTGTATTTTTCTTTGGTCTCTTTTATATATTCTCATTGGCAATCATCCAACATAATTTTTTCATCAATGATTATTATCTATCATTATTTTCAATAATTTCATTAATATCATTATTTGATACCATTTTTTATTTATTAAAATATTCACAACAATCAGATAAATCATAAATCCTTTTATATTTAGTTCAGTTGTCGTGCCCACAACGCCCGCCTTGCTGAAGTTCAATCCAAAGAACAGTCGACCTTTTTAGTTAACATGTGTAGAACTGAAGGACCAGGTTTGTATGAAAATTCGAAAAGTGCAACTTTTCAACACTTCTTTTCATGTCTTTGAAGCGAAAACTAAATGAATATTTATACTATTAAATATTTGAGACTAATACAATATTTTGATATATGTTTCAGTTATAAAACAAATTGTTTATATCAAATGTAAGATAATTGTATAAAAAATTCTTTATTCAAAAGGCAATCATTATGGAAATGACATCTCTAAATAAATTGATAAAATATAAGTGATCAATTGCTTGTTGTATTTATATTCAATTAAAGAGAAATATACCTGTGTATTATCATTTCTTAGTTTTCAATTTCGAAGTATTATCCTTCTTATCAAAGCGGCAGTCCTTGATGTCTTCATCAGATACAAACCAACATTTCATTAGATTTTATTTTGTTAGTAAATTGTTCTGCACATGCCATAGATAGATATCTTCACCATAAGCCGAAACCAAAACCAAGGGTAGTTGAGTGGGTGGAAATTCTCCTCTGTAAATTAGTCCATTCATTCATAGTGTTCTAAATCTGAAAATACTATATGGATGATTACTTGACACATCAGCTCACATGACTTTTTTAAATAATGAAGATTAATCCAACCTCTTTCTAATACACATGATACACATGTACGAGTTATATACAATTTAAAATGTCGATATGACGTTTTCAAAATATCTTACACATTTATCATTGAGCATGCTTAGCCGCATAGAGTTAACTTTTCATTCGGCTTAAATAATGTTCTATTACGCTCTTCTTGCTCGAAACGCTGACGTTGTTGCGTTAGGGTATCGCAGATTTTCCAATGTTGCCTGTTCAACCTTTCAAGGGATATGGTGTAACAATTAAGTGTTCAGATAGATATGTGAATATGTTAACAAGCAGTTTTATGGAATATCCGTTTCACAGATGATGACGGATATGTTCCTAATGTCGTAACTATAATCACGTTCCCTTTTCCCGAATGTGACCTACCGAATTAGACTTATTATCGGGTTTGTACTTACATGAGCAACACGACGGGTGCCACATGTGGAGTAGGATCTGCTTACCCTGAGATCACCTCCAGTTTTTGGTGGAGTTCGTTGTTGCTCAGTCTTTAGCTTTTCTATGTTGTGTTTTGTGTACTATTTTTTTTCTGTTGGTCTTTTTCTTTTTTAGCCATGGCGTTGTCTGTTTATTTTCTTCTTTTGAGTTTGAATTCCCTCTGGTATCTTTCGCGTCTTTTTTTTATCTACTCTCGACCTATGACGTCCATCACTTTGTAAGTCAAAAGTTTTTTTTCACAATTGACTCCATATTTTAGATATTTTCTTTTCTTTTAGGTATCTTAAATAACTATATAGGCGATATGTGATGATAAAAAAAAATTTATCAAAATATTTTCGATACTTCAAGGTTGATCTAAAAAATGAAAAATGCAACGGCACAGACTAACGTTTTGTTTTTATATTGTATATATATATATATATATATATCCGTTCATCTGGTCTAGTCAGATCATCCTACTCAACTACTACCTGATCAAATTACTTATACGTATGAAAGAAAAATATTAGCATTAGCGCTTTTCTGGACATACCTTCACAAGGAACGCTCATACTAAAAGTGAAAGCCAAGGATTATAAGGACCTAAACTTGAGAGGATAAAACAGGTACAGGGCTATATCACAAAAAGGGACAAACAAGAAATACCCAATTCTAAAAAGGGAATGATGTTTTGTCATAAATGTACAGCAAACACATTTAATGTGTACGGAAATACCAAACTTTAGTGCATAAAAAGTATTAACGAAAATACCGAAATCAAAGGTTAATTCAAAAGGGGAAACGGAAGTCTATATGACATGACAAATTTAAATACTCGACTATATTAACCAACGGAACGAATAGAAAACAACTGCCATATTTCTGACTATAAAGCTATCCACCAATTTGACCAATTATTCATCAAGTTTTTAAATTGAGTATGCATTGCCCTCTGCTGAAAAAAAATGAATAATAAAAGAAGATTGACAGGCATTTAAAGAAACAGTTACATTTACAGGCGCGTAGCTACATTTACGTCAAAACGCCCGGGCGTGCACATAAATTTTGAAAAATTAAAAATAAACACCAATAAATTAATTTTAGTTGAAATCAACAAAGTTTAATTTTGGATCCTTCAAACCTTAATATGAAATAATTTGAAAACAAGGCCCAAAATAAAAATCTAAATGCACAATAAGATTCAGCTAATCATACAGCCGCAATAATTCAGTGTTTGATGAAATCAAACAAAGTTTAATTTTGGACCCTTTTGACCTCAATGTAGACCAATTTAAAAATGGGCCCAATATCCAAAAATATTGTTTTATACAAGGTTAGAACTCCCAAAAATTAAAGACTTAATTAATTGCGCAATACTGTGCAATTGAAGATTTTATGCTATTGCGCAATACTGTGCAATTGAAGATTTCTTGCTATTGCGCAATACTGTACAGTTGAAAATTTCTTGCTATTGCGCAATACTTTGCTATTGTGCAATACTGTGCAATTGCAGATTTCTTGCTATTGCGCAATACTGCGCATTAGAAGATTTCAAAAATTTGAAAAAATTGCACAGTAATTTTTTCAATTTTTTTGAGGGGGTTCATTTTTTTTCTTCAAAATTTTTGAAACTTCAAATTTTTGAAATCTTCAAATGCACAGTAATGCGCAATAGCAAGAAATCTTCAATTGTACAGTATTGCGCAATAGCAAAAAAAATCTTTAATTGCATAGTATTGCGCAATAGCAAGAAATCTTCAATTGCACAGTATTGCGCAATAGCACAGTATTGCACAATAGCACAGTATTGCGCAATAGCAAGAAATCTTCAATTGCACAGTATTGTGCAATAGCACAGGATTGTGCAATATCATTGTATTACGCAATAGCAAGAAATCTTCAACTGTTATTGGGCAATAGCAAGAAATCTTCAATTGAACAGTATTGCGCAATAGCAAAAAATTATTTTTCAATTGCACAGTATTGCGCAACAACACAGTATTGCGCAATAGCAAGAAATCTTCAATTGCACAGTATTGGGCAATAGCAAAGTATTGCACAATAGCAGGAAATATTCAATTACACAGTATTGCGCAAAAGCAAGAAATCTTCAATTGAAAACAAATACAAATGTTTTAACCGATTTCGATGGGATTAATTAAGTCTTTAATTTTTGGGGGTTCTAACCTTGTATAATATTTTATGATATTGGCCCCATTTTTAAATTGGTCTACATTGAAGTCAAAAGGGTCCAAAATTAAACTTTGTTTGATTTCATCAAAAACTGAATTATTGCGTCTGTATGAATTGCTGAATCTTATTGTGCACATCTTATTGTGATTTCAACTACTGCAATAAAATAAAATTATTGTTGTTTTTTTATATGCTGAATCTAACCATGTTGTTAGATTTTGGATATCAGACCATTCTAGGTAAATTAAATGTCCCATTTCAAATTTTTAAGATCTTTGACCACATTTATTTTGTGTCCGAAACCTATATTATATCAAAAATTTGATCACAATCCAAATTCAGACAATATCAAGCTTGAATATTGTTTCCTAACTTGCCCCAATTTTTTAGGGTTCGACCTCTGCGGTCGTATCAGGCTGCGCTCAGCGAAGCATTTTATTAATGATAGAAATGTTATCTCTTTCTTGATAACGCATGAGCTTCAAAGGGGGGGGGGGGGGGGGGGAGGTTCGTACCTTACTAGGATGTCCTCTGCCCTGGACCCGCTGGGGCCCCCAGACCCCTCGCCGAGGTTCGGGCGTACACGTAAAAATGGCCTAGCTGCGCCACTGATTTATTGATTGCATGCGCATAGAAAATATAAAAAACCAGGCTTTATTTTATAGAAGGCATCATCGTTTATATTGCATTTATTCAGGTTATGATATATGTATGAATGAAATCGCATTAAGGGTACCAAATGTTATGCACCAGATGTGCATTTTGAAAATATTTGTATCTTCAAGGAGGCTCGAGGCAATGTTTAAAAATCCAAAACCAAAAAAAAAAAAAAACGCTGGAAGAACTGATTATACATAAAAGCATCGAAAGTATAACCAAAACCGGAACAAGGAATGAGAGCCTTGCAGTTTAAAATGAAAATAAAATATCTTAAATCTGTCTTCCTAGCTATAGGTCACAACAATGACGCTATGACTTACAGGACAGATTGATGCAAGCCATATCTCCACAGGAAACATTACCGTGTAGTCGTTAGTGTCACTTGCTTGTTGACACTATATATCTAGCTGAACACCCCATTGGTATACCATATTCTTCAAAACGGAAACGTTATCAGGATACGATTAACACAATCAACTTGTCAAAGAAACGACTTAAAAAAGAAGAGTTAATTTGATGAACGAAAATTCATAATATCATAAGCGATATTGCACCGATTGTATAACTAAGTGCAACACGGTTTCTTTTTTCTTGTATATCCAAACAACAACAAAAACACTAAGCACAGATCTGAGAGTACTCGCAGTTACTAACAGCTAGTTCAAAGCCACTAACAACTAATTAAAAAAATCATGCATCTAAGACTAAATTATCAATCCGTACACATCCAACATCCAATGGATTTAGCGTAAAGACGTAATAAACAGTCGGAGAAAAACATGACGTGCAATGCCAAGATACAGGTATCGACAGATTGTAGATCCATGAATGTGTATATGTATATAACAATAATATTTAGTTTGCTTTTAATTTACTGATAACAAAATCATATATAAGTCCATATTACTTAATAGGTGTATTCAATAAAGTTGAAATAATAATCTCCATTTACTTATTCAATGTGTTCAATTTGCTTCTTCATAAGTCTCTATATATCATTATCACTGGAAGTTTATCGTTCATATACAAATGTAGGTCTAAGTTATTGGTTAGGAGGTAGAGATGATGTTGTAGAAGGAAGGTGGATGTGGGCTCAAACAGACCAGCTGTTCAATTTCACTGACTGGTATCCTACTGTACCAGACAACATCGGAAGAAACGAGAACTGCTTACATATGTATGCTCCATGGAAATTGAAATGGAACGACGTCACATGTAACGGACTATACAGATTCATTTGTGAAAAAGAGTTAGTATATATTTTTCTCAATATGTAATGTCTAATGCATGAACTTTGCGATAAAATTTTGGCGAAAATGAAAATGATCAAATAATTTAGTTTTTCATTTATCATTATAATGACATTTTTTAAAGATACAGCAGCATTTATCATGTAAAAGCAATGACGAGCTCTAGTAATCTGTTTTGATACGAAGTTCCTGATATTATTCGTGTTCTGACAAAATATGTGTTATTCATGTATTTCCATTTAAAAGGATGTTATTGTTTCGCAAGAAAAGTTAATAGTTAAAAGATTAATTAACGAAACTGTTGCCGTTAGAATATTATTAAGAACAAATACCATGATTGCTTAAAACATAAAATTTTATAAAATAGAGTGTAATACACATTTTCGTACCTACTAATTTTCATGCTGAATAATTATATTTCAATAATATAGAATATGTTCAAGTTTCAACTTGACCTTTTATATTTTTCATACAAGTACTAGTAGTATTTTGCTTTTATAATTCTTTTGTAGGCATGACAGCGAAACGAGTGCAATTGTTGGTTAAAGAATAATAAAGACTTTAAAGCTATTTTTGTTTTATACAATTCTTATTGAATTTTTATTGATGGACTACACATTCGACAGTATTATTGATCAAAACATTTCAATGCATAAAAACTGAACCCTTATATAATACGTCAATCTGTGTCTGTAGTGTAGTTTGCGGGGTAATATTACAACAGTTTTAGTTTTTGGTCCATTGTTTGATAAATGCTCTCTAAGGTGTTGATTATTTTAATAATACCATGGAATTAGTTTTAAAAAAAAGGAGATGTGGTATGATTACCAATGAGACAACTCTCCGCCAGAGTTCAAATAAAGTGGGTCTAAGCAATCATAGGCAACCGTACGGCCTTCAACAATGAGAAACACCCATATCGTATCTATAAAGGCCTGACATGAAAAATAGGTTTATTTGTTATTTAATTTTTTCTGTTGAATAACTGTTTTTTGTCGGTATACTAGATAAAGCTCAAGCCATGAATAAAAATGTATACTTGCTGCAATAGCTGGCGCCTCCAAACCTTTTCCAGCTGGTTATGATAGATAAATCCTGAATACAATCAAAGCTGTGTTAAACTTCTTGATAACCAAAATATCCCACATTCACCTTGATACTTGTATCAGTCAAAAGTTTATAAAGTAAGTCATTATATTAAAGCTCTAATAAACTTTGAAAGAGTAATATTGAAACATCAACCATAAGGAAGTATTTGTGCTGTATCAAATGAAAAATATATAAAGAACTGCACGTCACAAGGTATATGCAATAGTTTGCCGGTTCGTTTCAACTGCTAGGAGCAAAATTACTAGCATAATAACTATAGCAACAAAACCAAAAACCAAATTAGTAAAATGAAAAGCATGCTGTAATTTCATACTTTTTTTTAAATTAATATGCCAACAAAACAATGTCATTTCTATCCTTAGAATAATCTTTGATTTGTAAATATATAACTAGATTGTAGGTTTTAAACTCAAAGATGCTTATCTATTGTACAAAAAATCACGGTATTTTGTGTATTTTCTCTTAAGGGTATAAAAAGTCACAAGATGCTTTTTCCAATTAGCATGCCACTGTGTGTAAACTAAATAGCACGGGGTATGTTTGGTTGTCATAGTGGTAGATTTAAGTAAAAAGCCCGCCTCTTAAGGGTAAAAAAAAAGTCCCAAGATGCTGTAATTTCTTTCATTTAGCATGCCACTGTGTGTAAACTATATAGCAAGGGGTACGTTTGGTTATCATAGTGGCAGGATAAAGTAACAAGCCCGCCTCCAGGTGCGGGATTATCTCGCTGCGTTGAAGACCCATTTGTGGCATTGGACTGTTTTCTGCTCTTTGGTCGGGTTGTTGTTTCTTTGACACATTCCCCGTTTCCGTTCTCTATTCTACTTTTCATTTATAAAAGCATATGCAGGGACGTGCTTAAAATTTCTCAACAGTTATTCGAACTCAGCTTCTGCGAATAACTCTTTCTTGACGTCGTGTAGTTTTTAACAGTAATGAAAATAAAGCTATGTTCTTCTACTGTGGTGTCATGGTGATAAATATTTGCATCTGGAAATACATAAAGGGCTTAGAAATTCTTTTAAAAAAATTCCTTAGAGCGTATAAATAAATCTTAGGTGATAAATCGAAATTTAAATAAATGAAATTGTTAAAATGTGATTTGACATATCAACCTACATAACAAAATTGCGAATTACGAAATTGGTTTTACATGTGTTAAGAAATATCATCTGACATCTTTTATTGATATACCGATTTTTAAATGCAAATAAACTGTGAAATTCTATAAACATTTAATTTGCTTTGCTAATCTATGCTTATCCGTAAAAGGTAGTATGCCCTACCTAGCTGTTGGGATATGGTCAAAAGAGAAACTGTAGAGGTGAATTTTGTTTCTATTGTTGATGGACAGTCTGTCGTGATTCATTTATGTAGGTGATTTTTTTCATCTGTACACAATTACAGAGCTTTTTATAGTACGTAAACAATTGATTTTAAAAGAGTCTACTTTTTAATCTACTACTTGTTTGGAAAATACCCTAAAATCCTTACAGATATCACAAGCGAAAAATGAAAACAACGGTTCACTGTAACCTTTTTGTTAGAATTAGTAGTCAAAAGTACGCGTTAGTTCTTACTAGTTTTGGAACATGCATGCACTTTGGACTTAAAGGTTAAATTCTATTCTTAATATTCAACGTGCAAAGATAAAATTTGATATTAACTGGTGCCATAATCTAACACAAAGATACGATTTAAGAACGTTTATTGGAATCATGTTACCGAAATCACTACCAGTCTTTATTTGCCTGTCGTTATTTGCGATTTTACTCGGTATGTTTATTTCTTTTATTTATGTTATTTACAACATTCATGAATCACATAAAGCAAGACACTATTTTTTTCTTTCTTTTTGCAAATATAGGGGGCTCGGTGGCCAAGTGGTCTAAGTAGGCGAACTACTGTATCTCGAGGCTGTCAACACTAAGGTTGTGGGTTCGAATCCCGCACATGGCAGGTGCGCTCGACTCCAATCTTAATTTACTTTTGGGTTCATTTTGCTATATTTTGGTTTGCTGTTGACAAGTATTTGTTTAATCTTTTAATACGACATATAGAAAGAATATCCCAAAATGTTTTAAATGGTTATATAAGAATAAGGTGATGTTGCATGATTGCCATGGAGACAGCTATCCGTCAACATTCAAATGACAGATTTGTTAGCAAAATAACGTGACAATACGACAACAACAAATATTTAATTTGCAAATCCCGTCATCCACAATGAGCTGAATAAAAACAATCGTTAATATTAAACATAACGTCTTCAACACTGAGCAAAATCCATACCATACAGAAAGCTATAAAAGATGCCTTGGGACAAAAACATTGTGAACAATTCAAAAGCGAGAACCAGCGGTCTATTAATGATAAGTGTAGATAATAACATTAAAATATTTTAACACAACGTAAAAAAATCCCAAACATTTATGGTTGTGACAACATTGGGAACCGTATACATTTCAAACGGAGTGAGATCTGACCCGTCGACAGGAAATACATCTACTGCTTTATACGCATTCTCCGTAAACAACAAACATCAATCACCCTAGAAACAAAAAATGTCCAAGCCAGGAACATGATCTAGTCGGACAGCTTTATTGTAGAAATGACGAAAACTCTACTACACTGGTGATACAAAAGAACGGAAATCTAGAATTTGCCTTCACGCGAGACGCTTGAGCATGGCGCCCTTTATTAAATGCGGAGTATTACATCGCATAAAGCAAGACAGACATTTCAGTGCATCCTTACACATTGTACATGCATATCTTTATTCTCAATAAATCCATCGTTTTGACAAGGTATAATAGAGAAATACATATGTATAATATTTGCAGTATATGCATTAATTAATCAGTAAATTAATACTTTTTATGAATTGAATGTGGATTCATTATATTTTGATACCAATTTTTGTGGATTGAGGAAAAAGGTTTTTTCTTGGATATTTGATTTCCGGGTTCTGCCAAATTTTGCCCATAGAAAATTTCTCCTTCGTTGAATTTTAAATTTTCTGTTTACCTTTTACACACGAAAATTTGAAAACCACGAGTATTAATGAGTCCAAAGTTTGTTCTTCAGTATTAAAATGAGGAAATGTGGAATGATTGCCAACGAGACAATTATCCACCAGATTCCAATTGACGTGGATGTAAGCAACTTGAATATGACTTTTTCGTTGATTCTATCCTAATTTTAAGTTATATCAAAATTTCAGATAATACAAATGCCGAGTGCCCTTAGGATGGCATCATTTCGGGTCATCATGTTATCTGTTCGGTCATGATCACTTCAACTGGTTACAAGCAGAGGTATAGTTTTCAGAACTTTAAACCAAAACTAGAAAAAACTTGAAGACTACTTGAAAAGTTTATGGTGATACACAGCTTGGGTTCGTATTTCTCAAACTGTTTTTATGCACTGGTTGATAGTTTTGATTATTTTGTCAGTTCTTCTTCCATAGAAGTTTGAATGTCTAATTAGTAGCTTCTGTCTCGGTGTTATATAGGTGCTCCTAGAACGGAGGAAATAACTCAGAGAAGAAAAAGCCAACCTAGAACACTGATGATTAAAACATTTCTCAGTGGTGCTAGTTTGTAGTATTTCTTTTTTTTTTTCGAAATGTGCGAGTCAAGTTCTGTCTCTGTGTGATACGGGTGCTCCAAGAACGGAGGAAATAACTAATAGAAGACAATTTAGAACTCTCTGATGAATTAAAACATTTCTTCAGTGGTGCGAGTTTGAAGTATTTTTTTTCTTCGAGTGGTGCGAGTTCTGTCTCTGTGTGACACGTGTGCTCAGAGAAAGGAGAAATTTACTCAGAGAAGAAGAAAACAATCTAAATGATTTAACGCATTTCTTCGAGTTTTTTATATTTCTTTTTTTTTCTTTGAATGTTTGATAAAGTGATGAGTGTTTGAGTTGGGCGAGTTGGCCGTGGGCCGAGTTGTCGTAAATTCAAGACAAATTGAAAAAAAAAACCATTTCCGCCTGCTTACAAAAGGTAGACGGTAAGGAACCAGCTACGGAACTTTATTTGGGCTTTAATTTATCAAGCAACGCTAATTAAAGCAATTACTATATGAAATTATAAAGTACATTACATACACTAACTATTTATTATTATATAATACTTCAGACGATCGTCGGCTCGGAGACAAACCGGCTAAAAAATGTTGGTCTCCAAATTTAATAGTATATTAATAGTATATAGATAGATTCTTCGAGTTTGTTATATTTCTTTTTTCTTTTTCTGAGTGGTGCAAGTTGTAATAACTACTGAGAGTTTTTGAGTTGGGCGAGTTGGCCGTGGGCCGAGTTGTCATAAATTCAAGGCAAATTGAATACAAAACCATTTCAGCTTGCTTACAAAACGTAGACGGTAAGAAACCAGCTACGGAACTTTATTTGGGGTTTAATTAATTAAGCTACGCTAATTAAAGCAATT